TTTCTTCCCAGGTTTCAAAACTGTTGATATTATCTAATTTACTGATTCTTTTCTGGGAGCCTCCATGCCACGGGTCAGTTTGGGTGTCAGTGTCAATCGTCAGATTTTCTGCTGGCTCGTATTTGTGTTTGTTGAGCCAGTTCACAACTAGGTCTTTTTTAAAAGTAAGTGAGGTCTTCTTTAGACGGGAAGTTATGTCCTTTATACCCTTATGGGTGTTTGGGATGTCTTTTATTGTTTTAGATAGTTCGTTCACTAGTCTTTCATATGATGTGAGACCCTCCATAATCGAGAAATACTCACAGCATTCTTTCCTTTTATAGGGTGCGGTATCCGATTCGGATAGGTTTTTTTTCCTTTTTTCTCCAGCTAACGATCTGGTCGGTGATTCAGGAAGGGAATTAACCCTTTTTCTTTTTGGTTCGCTTCTACTATTGTCTGTTCTTCCCGAGATTCCGCCCGGGTCGCCCCCGATTATGTTTATAATTTCATTTAGGTTCATCTAGATCCCACGAGTAGCTAGGGAAATTCGGTCAGCTGTCGCATAGCCCCGCTTACGGCAGTAAGGCTACTTACAATGAGGTGTCGCCCGGTACCCCAAGGGAACCGTTTGGGACCACGTGTCGTGTGGTCATTCAGTCCTCAGCACGGTTTCTTACGCCTTGACTTAACGGATTTTTTCTCGTTGGTTTACTCCATCGGTTTTTTGTTTTGCATCAGGTTGTCTCCTGAGGATCGGTAAGAAAACGGGATGGAGGATAGGTAACAGCAAGGATGATGATGAACGAGCTGGGATTTGCTAATCCATCACGGGGGTTGGTGTACGGCAGTGGCACTCAGCGCCCATCTCTGAGTGCCAATCTCGCCCACCTCCCTCGGTAAGCAGTCCCCACCCTGTCCCATCGCGCTCGCCTCACAAGAATTAGCGGCCGCGACCGGACTAGAGACGGACCGCTTCTCCGTTTAGTCGCCTTTTACGACAAGCAGGAGAAAACTGTGGGGATATTCTTTACTGGCCGTGCCCCACACAGCCAAGACTATATCTACCTAGCTTTGAAAGCTCCTTGTCACAAGAAAGTCTTAAATGTCAAAATGTCTATTTGTATTGTGTTTTACATTTTACAGTCATTCTGTCTGTTCATACCAAGTACAAACTTGTATTTAATTGAGCGCACAATAAGAAAGAGACTTAAAGAAGCCGGTCTCAAGTCATATGTGCCAATAAAAGCTCCCAGACTCCAGAGACACCATCGTTTAGCACGACTACAATTTGGTCGAGTACATCAAAATTGGAATGATAACCACTGGAGTCAAATTCTCTTTACGGACGTAAAGTGTGTTTCTGTGTAAATTACATCGACGGTAGAGAAAGATTGTATTAACGCCAAGGAGAACGAAATGCCCCTTTCAATTTTACTACGACCGTACCTTTTGGTGGAGGTTCAATTATGGTGTGGGGCGGTATAAGTTTGGGAGCAATAACAGAGTTAGTGGTGATTGATGGTGGAGCATTAACAGCAGATAAGTATATCAGTGATATTCTCCAAGACCATGTGGTACCTTTTTCACCATATATTGGCGAAAATTTTACTTTATAGTGTAAGAGTGTAAGTGTAAGATATTTCTTATTACAAGTGGGTATAACAACGATGAATTGGCCAGCTTGTTCCTAAGAACTAAACCCGATAGAGGATATGTGGGAAATGCTAGGCAGAAAACTTGGGGCACGGGTTCCTGCTATTCAAAACAGAGAAGAAGTCACAATTGCAAAAGATTGAGGAATGGGAGAGGCTGCCCAACAACTGATCGATAGCGTTATCAGAAGTATGAGAAGACGAATAACTGCAGTTGTAAGGGCTCGTAGGGGAAATACACGCTATTAAAGCCAAAAAAATGCATAAAAAAACAATTTAAGTTCAAAATGTACAATAAAGTTAATGCATTTAAAATCCGTATTTTGTTGAGTCTGACATCTTTGTGTTTTATTTCTTCTTAAACAGGTTTTATATTATACTACCATTGTAAAATAAATTCAAAATACTTCACCAACATTCGTATTATGATATTATCTAAACAGTATATAGACTAGAGAGAAAATACTCAGATTTTATGGATGTTCCTTTAAATATGCTGGTGAAACTAAGAAGAAAATGAGCATTTATTGATGAAAAACATGGCTAGTTGTTAACGTTAACTTTTTTATTATCCAACACAAGCAAATGAATCAAAAAAGAAAATGTTAAGAAAGCCAGAGACTAAAATTGAGCTTTAATTTCAATCTTTTATATATGCTAGAATATTCCACAGGGTGTTTCGAACTTTAAGGAAAAAACACAGTATGATTGTTACACCCGGTATAAAATGACGTTGACCTGTCTAGCAACAATATTATTTCATTGATATTCTTAAATAATATACCTATAACATACTAAAAAAATCACTAAAATCGGACAACAGGTTTAGGAAATTCGAGTCATCTAACATGTCCCATTTTTAAGGTGTTCCGTTAATTTTGCCGGTGAGTGTATATATATATATATATATACATATATATATATATATATATATATATATATATATATATATATATATATACAAAAGGATTATATATATATATATATAATATTATATATAATATGTATTAATATTATTATGTGATATGTTTTGTATTATTTATTAAAAGTTTATAATTATTATTTTAGGCTTTTCTATTTCAAAATAATCACTGTTTGACCGAGAACTGTCACTTTTGAAATCCGTTAGTGTCATGTCTAATTGGCAAATCTTTTACGTGTTTGGTTCATACGCCGGTGTTTGTGAGTTTGAATCCCAATATGAATTTCACTTTTTATTTTTGAAATATTTAAAAACCTCACATTAATCTTATTAAATATATGTAATATATGCAAAAATGCTTAATTTTCAAATAAAATGAAAATTTACAACATAATCCGAGTTATTGGTTTTTTATTTTTATCTCCGTAAAGTAAGTTATATATATATTGGCAGTTTTAAATACTTATGAATATTGCATTTTAATTTATATTGTATTATTATATTGAATTATGTTGCAGTGTATTTATTGTATTGTAATTTTTATATTAATAACAAAATAAACAATGAATTTTACTGCAGAGTATGTGTAAAATTTTTTTTTGTTTGCAACTCCTTTTATACATATATGAAAATAAAAATATATATTTTCATTAAAATATTGATACAATCCTTCATTTACTATACTCCTATTACAGGTCAAATGTTTTCTCTTTCTGCTCTCTCTCTCTCTCGCTCTTACCTATAGCATTACATCTGTAATGATTGTGCAGATTGACTCCCATATAAATTTGTAACGGCGAACGCGTGTAGAGAAGTATATCTTCTACCGGCAGTCCCACTGCACTGTCACACTCGTTTTTTTTTAATTGACCGTTAACTTACTTGGCCACGGTCATGTAGACAACAGCCATGTTTTTAGCTGAAAAAAATTGAGGGTGAAGTTTGTGTCCTCGGGACATCAAATTCTGATTATTTTATGTTTCTGAATTTATTATTTGTGCATTATGCGTTTGTGTATGGTGTATTATATATATAATTGTAGATGATATGTCTACGACTTTTTCAATCCACTATTGTTGGCATATTCGTATTGTTGATTTCTTCTTTTAGTATTGACAACCAAAGCCTGCTAAATTCCGCTGATGAGTTTGCTACACATTTTTCTTCATTGGGTAGGATAAGAGCTGCTTTTTTGATTTTTCTCTTTTTAATACCGTTTTCTTTCATGATTATTGATGCATCTTTCCATTGTACTCTGTGCTCATTGTTCTAGGCATGTTTATATTGTGATTTGTCGAAGCCTGTTTTGGAGCATGATGATTTTTCCTGCTCGTTTATTCTGATACTTAGTGGTCTTGTTGTTTCTCCCACCTAGAAATTGTTGCATTCATAGAGTATTTTATAGATGCAATTCTTTGCTATCTCTTGTGTGTTGTTAGGTTTGGATTTGGACAGGATAGATCTCATTGTATTGGTTGTTTTGAATGTTGAGCGAAAGAGACGCAAATATCACAGTGTAGCATTATCATGTTATTAGCGTAGCAGATGTTATTAGTGTCTAGTACTTTCGTTTTTCGCGAACAAAATATTAATTAAAAGATATCCTGTTTTTGGTGAAAAGGTTAAGTCTAGTTTCCACCGGTTTCTTTTTTCAAAAGCGTATTGTATCATTTTATCACAGATGATCTTGTAAAATCTGCAAACAAACCGCTGGGATTGGACTTTGATATTAAATTTTTCTTGTTAAAATTATAAATTTCATTGTGATGGCTTAAATTCTAACATTGAAGATGATAAAGCAAATACTATCTAGTGAGATAGTTTATTTGTTGATGTTTTGTTGTTCTGGAGTACTTTTCGATTAGGTTGTTATATTTACGGATGGGATCAAGGTTAAAATTAATATTACAATCATTAATGAAACAAAATGGGAACGATTTTCCTGAAGGTAAAAAAACTAATAAATAAAAATATTTAGTACCGTTTATTTTTATCAGTAAAAATGTATTTCATCCACTTTGGCCCTGTATTTTTATAAGAGTGTAGACTGAGTTCAAAATCTCGTGAATCTGACGCACTCATTTGGTGAAGGCAATCTAAGAACGAAACGATGAAATCAGACATTGCTGAAAACATTTAATTATCTTCAGTGCGTTCTTATAGCGAGGCAGAGTCGACCTAGTTTTTGTATTAGTAATCTAGTTTGAGTATTTATTATTTTTCTTCTAACAGTCGTTTTTAATTCTTTATATTGACTTCAGTATAAAATTATAATGGTAATGTTTTTAGGATTCATTTTTTTTCGAGCATGCGTATTTCCAAGGTTGAGGTTATGAAGTATGTTTACATTGTATTTGTATAACTCACAGTTAAATATCAATGAGAAATAAGCAAAAATAAAGGCTACAGAATGATTATAAAGTAGCAAATCTTCAAAAACTTACCTTCATATTATTATCCTGCGGTTCCTCTTTGATTTGTAAATTGGGTTGCAGCGTTTTTCGTTCCATAAAGCTTCTCTTAGGCTGAGAACCACCTTGTAGATAAGGACTGAAATTGTTTGGATGCTGATTAGGTCCGCTAAAGAACTGATTATTGGCGGCTATCATCTCTGGAGGTGGATTATGTTGGGTAACTACTATCCTTCTTGGTTTTGGAGGATGGATTACCTTGAAAAATACAATTAAATTGAGAAGTAAAAGCCAAAATACCTTGTCAATTATTTCTTATATCATAATTCCACAATCCAAAAGCCCGGAAACAAAACTATCATTAAGAAAGAAAATACTTGATGAAAACTGTTTTAAATACAGTTTGTTCGCTACATACACGTGTTTTAAATGTGACCAACAACATATAACAGTAACTAGTCTATAAGTTGAACCACAAATTGTAAAAACAACATTTATTTAATAATCCAGGACACGTTTCGACACCACCGTCATCATCAGCTTTATAAATCTGGAGAAACTAGAGTCTAATTTAAAGAAAAACGGTTAGGTTGCCAACGCCATAGGAAACATTCCAAACTACACAATTACTATTTAAAACCATTTAATAGTGGGTTATTAAAAGGGCCAAAAGTCTAATTTTTCTCCTAATGGTACCATTTTAAAATGATCCCAAAAGTGCCATTTTTTGCACTGTTTCGTTTTATTAATGTTTATTATTAAACCCTTTTTTGTAGCCGCTTCCTTTACTGTTACATACACCTCTCGCGCTGCGTTTTCCGTTCTCCCAACAACATTGATATCATCAGCATATGCTAGGATTTGCACATATTTGTGAACTGGTAGTTGTGATTTGTGACGTACGTATTACTTTTTCCAGAGCTAGATTGAATAGTACACAGGAGAGTGGGTCTCCCTGACGTAGCCCGTTATTTGTATTAAAAGGTTCAGAAAGTTCCCCCTGGATTCGTACTCTGCATTCAACTTTTTCAAGGGTTAGTTTGGTTAGACTTACCAACTGATTTGAGTTAGATCTATCATTGCTCTAAACAATTCTCTTCTATTTACAGAGTCGTAGGCTGCCTTGTAGTCTATAAATATGTGGTGCGTGTCTACACCGCATTCCAGTGTTTTCTCTAGAATTTGTCTCAGATGATGAATTTTTGATTTACCACCTCTGAAACCAGCCTGGTATTGTCCTATTATTCGCTCTGCATACGGTGCCATACGATGGCATAGTATATTGGAAAATATTTTATACGCTGCATTTAGGAGCGTCATTCCTCGATAGTTAGAGCATTCAAAGATATCTCCCTTTTTGTGTATGGAGCAAAGTATTCCAATATTCCAATCACTGGGAAGGGACTTCTGTATCCATATTTCTTTTATAAGCGTAGCGCTATTATGATATCGTGGCCACCTTCTTGATATAATTCCGCTGGGAGATTATCTATTCCGGGTGATTTGTTTCTGGCTAGTTTGTTTACAGCGTCTCTAACTTGCAGGATCGTTGGTGGATTCTCCTCCCTCTCGTCTGCTCCGCTTACCTCACAGCTTTCGTCTTCTTCCTCTATATTAAGTATCTGGTTGAAATATTCCGTCCATCGATTTAGTATGTATGTTCTTGTTGTTAATAGATCGCCATTCAAACTTCTACATTGATTTGTGTTTGCCTTGAATTCTTTTCTGTTGATATTAACTTTCTTATAGAATGTTCTGAATTCTTTCTCTCTGTTGAGGTTTTCTATATATTGAAGTTCCTTTTTTAAGTGGTTTCTTTTCTTTATTCTGTGTATTTTCTTTTCTTCTCTTCTCTTTGTCTGGTAATTCTCTACACTTGTTCTAGTTCGGCGGGTAAGGATTTTTGCATAAGCTTCATTTTTTTTGTGTGGTTAGTCTTTGCATTCATCGTCAAACCAGTAATTTTTTCGGGTACAAGTTTCTGTTCCTATTTCATCTTGTGCTGTTGACTCAATATCTTCCTTTATCGTGTTCCAGTAGGAGTCTATATCTCTCTGGTCTTCTTCGCCTGGACTTTGATTTCTTAACCTATTGGTAATATTTTCCCAGTACTGTTTTGCAGCAGTTGCATCTCTCAGCTTATGTAAGTTCCATTTCTTTGTATCTATTTTTTTTCTTTGTTGGAATTTGAAATTCTAGCCCTTAGTGTTGAGATCACTAAACAAATGGTTGAAAGTACCATTCCATAAAAAAGGAAACTAGTTAAAATTTGAAGACTACCGTGGAATCACGCTGTTGAACAAAAATAATATCCAACGTAATTTGTGAAAGGCTTAGACTACACGCTGACAAAATCGATGACAAATACCAATATGGATTCTGCATATAGAAGTCAACAAAAGACCAGATATTTGTTCTATAATAGATCCTCTAAAAATCAAGTGAATATAACATCGACACATATAATCTCTTCAGATCAGAGTGGAAAAGAATCCTGAAACCGACCAAGACACAAAAAGATTTGTCGAGCCAGTGATTATGATGGGTAATAATAATAATGTAGTGTAAAGTGTTGTTGGAATATAATATATGGAATTTTTGTTGGGGTAGGAATTAGAAATTTAAAAATAAAATCTATTAAATATTGCTAATACCGCATATTGTATAGTATACCATTTTAAACAAAAAAATATATAATAAAAAATATGCTAGGAATTTGAAAAAAATTGGCTATTGACCCAAGATCCGAATCACTGATTCAGGTCTCGAATCTCCTACTGACCAGACTGGTTTATTACGGATCTTTAAAAAGACTTATTTCCCATAAATATACAATAAATACTAAAATCCAACTTACCTTCGGTATAATGTTACTTAGTTTACTAGCAGCAAATATTTTTTCTGAAATCTCATCTTTTTTCGTTTCATGTTCTTCACAATGTTCCTTGAATTTATGCCTTTGTTTATTAAAGCGCATACCGCAATAGCGACACGTATAATAGCAGGCTAAAGAAAAGTAATGGCTTTCTATAGCCCAGTTGTCTTTAAAGGTGTACCTGAAAAAAAAATCACTTGTGAAGGTAAATGAAGGATAAATCACATGAAGAGTTAATACATAAACTCTGTTCCTGTCCTAATGATTGGAGGACAGGTCTTATGATTCGGTTACCTTGCATTTTTGGTGGTTTGTTATACGTGACCCCCAGACGGTATTTTTGGCATTGTAGTCTCCGGAAGCTATAAATTTATTACCCAGTGTCTAGAAGTAGTCTCCGCCAGCTAGAAATGTATTACCCAATATCTGGAAGTAATCTTCGTATTGCTTTTGTTTATTGTTATCTTTATAGGAGCAGTATAGTGCAGAGATGGTTAGTGGACTGGATTCGTTGATTATAGTTATGCTCGTGGCTAGCAGATGTTCTTTAGAAAATTACAGAATAAATGATGTTCAGATTTTGCAAAAGATTGGAATTAAATATAAGAAGCTGTACTGGCTGATGTCAGTGAACAGTCAGTACTGTGATACACGACTATCAATAAAATTATATGACACACTTAAGACTTCTACAAGCTCTTTTTTAGACAAATTCTTTAGCCTAAAAAACTACTCTGATTAGTTAAAATCGCACAAAGAATTCTGACAACGGCCCAAAAATGCCTTATTTTTTTATAAATAGATGTTTTTATACTATATGACATATAAATCGAAACGCCTATTATAAATTATTATATTTAATATATTTTGAAAATATTTTGTATAATTATACAGGGTAGCAAAATAAATACACGATCAACACTCCAATATGATTAAAACAACTTTCAGGGGTAAATCAATTAATAATGTGTTGATACACCTCGTGAGCAACACACGCTTGGAGCGCCTAGGCTCGCGTCTGATTAGGTGGTCAATATCCTCTTGGAATATCTCGTTCCATGCCATGATAAACCCCTTTCGAAATTTGAGGAGGATCCTCTAAATTAAGAAGTCTTCGATCACCATATCATACACATGTTCAAATGGGGATAAATCTACTGATCTCGGGGACCAGAGCAAAATATTGCCTCCAGCCTGTTGTAGACCCTAGTAACTCTTGCAATGTGTGGCCTTGCGTTATCACTGAAAAATTGGATGTTGTGAGCTGAGCGAAGATAAGGTAAAAGATGAGTTTCTAGAATTTCTTCTATGTATCGCTTAGCTGTTATGTTCCCTCTGACGAAGATTAGAGATGACCTTGAACCATAAGCGATGACACCAGATACGATGATACCAACAGTGGGCGCCATTCGACAAAAAACTGTGGATTTTATCTTACATAAGTCGTCTTCTTCTGACCTTGGCTCGGCCAGCATGGACAGAATAGACATTCAAGACATGTGACAATTTGACCCAGTGTTGTCGAAATGAAAAAAGGCCAAAACTGCGAATTCGTTGATAAATTGTTCATATTGATTTGCAATAGATCTGGTAGTGGAGAAGCAGTCTCTTAAGAGCCAACGACTTTAGGCGACGATTTTGACCCTCTGGTGTTCTTCAGCACCGCCTTGTGCACCTCGATCTTCGTGATCGGCCTTCTTGATGCCATGCTCAATAAAATCTTAACACAATATCCAAACTTCTTTGAACCCTCTTAGCAATTTACCGAAAAGAAAGTCCAGCTTCTCGTAGACCAACTATTTTCCCCCTATCAAACTCGCTAAGTTGATACAAATTTGCTCGTCTTCATGACTTTTAAAAAACACTGCTAAATTTTGATCGGTATTAAACTTAAAAGTTGAATTTTTTAATAGTTAGCAAATTTAAATATATATAAACTGGTATGGCTGAAATTTCAATCTTATACTGTTTTTGGCAAGATAGGCATGTACACCTAATTTTATTACAGTAAAATAATTTTTAATGGGTGTTCGGAATTGTTTGCCATTTAGTATACATTAATGACATATCAACTCTAAGAACAAACTCTATATTAAATAAAAAAAATCATTATCAAAAAATTAATCTGCTTTATTTCTGTTATTTCTTACCTGCAAAGGGGACAGAATTTTTTATTCACTCCTTGAATTCTCATTGATTGGTACAGTAATTTCCTATCATCTTTAGAAAAATCTCCTAAATAGACGTCATTGACCATGGGCTGAGTACCGACTAGAGTAATCTTCTCATCTCCAGTCAGTTTCATACCACTGGAATCTCGATTTTTTTCTTCAATAGGAATCAGCAAGTCACTGTCCATTACATCCACAACTATATCATCGTCTTCATATCTAGTGGTAGACAGTAAACAGTAACAGTTTAGTAAACAATAATTTAAATATTTATTAGTAATCATTATACAAAGACACCTTTGTATAATGATTACGGTAGGAAAGCGTGAAAAATATTTTGAAAAACTTATGTATTTTCAAAAAATGTCTCCGGATGTTTGTTTATAACCAGAATTTGAATATGATCCAAACGAAAAAGTAGAAAAAGAAACTATTTTGTTGTGGCATGTTTAAGTAAAATATTGTATTCATATGAGATTAAACCACAATTGATTGTAATCAACATTACACTTTACATTTGTTTTGATGTTTCGATATCCAATGAGGAAATTATTTTCCAAAAATAGTATAAATCATGGCCTGGAATCTTATATGAATGACTTGGTTCATTCCCCCATCACTTTGACCCCCGCGAGTTAATAAAGAGAAATGACAGCCTATCTCTCTCACGAAGACTTTAACCAATCATAAACCAAATAAAATAATCAAACGACGCAATGTCAATTCTGTCAATCCAAAGTAATGACAGATCTTCCGTTTGTTTACAAGTTTTCAATTTTATTTTATTATCTTTAACTTTCGTTTGCATTTATTCTTAGTAATTTTAATTTAAATTTGGTTACTTAATTTTTAAAGTTTATTTTGAGTTACCTATTGTAGCAAAGAGTTTTTGTGTGGTGCTAGTAACAAAACTAAACATGGTGAATTATTGTATTGTTCGTTGTGTATAAATCATGGAAAAATTACAAAAAGGATGATAGTAAGTTGTCAGGAAGCAAAAAATAATAGTATTTAACTTCTGCAAATATGTGTAATAAATATTATGTAATTATTTTATAACTGTTTTATCTTAAACAACAAATAAATATACGTATATCTAGAAAAACATGTGCATCTTTTATATATCTTATTTTCCAATAAATTTTAATTAGTAACGAAATAGCCTACAAGAGGCGCTAAAGGGTATGTATGTAAGGGGTGTTCATTCGAATTTGCCGCCAAAAGATGATTAGTATTGACCCCAGCCGCAAGGGTCCTAATGAACGAAATTTATACATTGAGTTGCCTATCTATTTCTACTATATTATTTATCTATGGTATAAATTAAGAAATGAATAACCTATGATGTTTACCAATTGGTTCTTTGTAGCAGCTAATTTGACAGTTGACTTACTTGGTCTTAATCTTGTAGGCAAACAGCCATGTTTTGAACTGCAATTCTGAAGGTGATATTGTACCCTCAAGTTGATATCAAATTTTGATTTTTTTGTGCTTATCTGTGCTATAGCTTAGATAATAATGTGTCTCTGACGTTATATTAACCCATTACTGTTGGAATATTCTTATTGACTTCTTCTTTCAGTGTTTGTAACCAGAGCCTGGACATTCTGTTGATGAATTTGTTACACATTTTTCTTTGAGTAAGTTGAGGGCTGCTTTTTTGATTTCTCTTTTTACTGTCTATTTCGTTCATGGCTATTGATGCTCATTGAGGTTTCGGCCACATAGAAATTGTTGCATGTACAAGGTATTTTATAAGTGCAGTTCTTTGATATCTCCTGTGTGTTGTTTGGTTTGGTTTTGGAGAGAATAGATCTGTTTTTTGGTTGTTTTGAATATTGTTGTGATATTGTATTTCCTATTTTTTCTTCCTGAAGTTCATTTTTGTTGGAGCAGGTGTTTTAGGTTCTGCCATGTGATTTGATGATTTTATTTTTATATTTGTTCTGGTTTGGTGATAATTTAAATATCTCTTAGTGTGGGTTAGTTCTCTGTAGACTTCATAAAACCAAAAACAATCTAGAAAGGCTCACAAGAATTGATTTGAAGATGGCAATACCATATGTAAAGGGCTTATAAGAAAGCATTCAAAACAACCAACACACTGTTGTATTCTGCCAAAACCAAACCAAATAACACACAGAAGATATCAAAGAATTGGATTTATAAAATACCGTGTACATTCAACAATTTTTATGTGGGAGATACCTCAGGACCAATAAGTGTTAGGATAAATAAGCACGAATCATAAACTAAAAACAGAGACTTTAACAGATCCCAGATATGGAATTGGTGCAATCAGCAAAGGGTAGGAATGGCGGTTTTTGACAAAACACCGGTTTTCGGTTATACCGGTTTTTTTTTTGCTTACGGTTTAACCTGGCGGTTATAACCGGCAAAAAAAACCGGTTTTTCCAAAAACCGGTTTTCGGTTTTTTTAATCCAATAGGTTACAAAGTTACATTTACAATGCACTTTAGTTTGCGATACTTATCTATAAAATAAAATTTGAATTATGGTTTTGTTTGGAATAATTACTTGAGAATAATAATTATGATTGGGATCCAAAATAATACCTAACCTAATCCTAATCACCGTAAAAACCTAATAACCGGTTTTTACTTTAAAAATACAAAACCGGTTATAACCGGGACAAAAAACAACCGATAAAACCGGTTATTACGAAGTAAAAAACGGTTTTCGGTTAAAACCGGTAGGTTTTCCCATCCTTATCAAAGGGTACAATAAAAAAACGCCAATTCGTCAATAGAACCATACAGCAAAAAGAGAAAAAAAAACGATACATTATCTGCAATTAACTACATACAACATTACAACACAACAACTTGAAAATAATTAATATTTTTTGAAAACGGACCTTACTGGAAATCGAAACGTCAAAACAAAAAATGTAAACCATACTTTTCAGTAAAATCAATTGTAATGTGTTTAATTCTATATACAATATTTAATTTTAGCCTAAATAATCCAAGAAGTTTGATATGTATAATAAAAATAGAAGTAACATTGTTTGCAATTAATTGTTCTATAAAAAGTTGCTTGTGAAATTGGTAAAAAAAAAAGTTTCCACTGCGTAAAAATCAAAATTTTGAAAAAGATGCAAAACTAACGTTTTGGACATTTAATTAAGGGAAATGGAAAACTCTGAAAGGTCGGTATGAAAAAATTATCTTTAAAACAAGACGTTAATAAAAATGCAAAAGTTTTTTCTATTTTTGCAATTACAGATCTGCCCGAAAAATTCGAAAATTTTCAAAAACTTTGTGTGTGAAAAATTATTTGTTGTATAAATCACTGGTTGTTGTACGGAAGACCAAATAAGCTTTCAAACCGCTTTCGAAAAACTAAAATCAGTTATTAATATGAGTCTTAGAAATTCTTTAAGGAGGTTACAGGTCATATTTTTTGGTTTAGTCAAATTTACGACCAAAATATTGATAATTTAATATAATTATTCTGTATAAACAAGATAAATTTTTCAAATTAGCCAATGTTAAAAATTACCAATTTAAAAATTATAAATTTAAGGAACAAAAACAAAACTATTTTGTTTTACGTTAAATCATTGATTTTGACATTTTCAAAATATAAAAAAAAAACGAATATTTTATTTTCTACCGAAAATTTTAAACTGAAAATTTTAATTAACAAATCCTTTATAAACAGTATATTTATTTAAAAGAGCCCTTTCGGACTTCATCACACAACGTTTTTGGAATGACTATTTCATCATTAGTGCTTTTACTAGAAATTCATGTGTGAAGCCAGTGAATACACGGTTAAAAACCCTTTGAATTGTTGTTAAATTGGTTTTAAATTACATTGTTGCTGATATATTATGGGATGTTAAAGTTTTAAACAGAATTAAATTCATGGCAATATAATACTCTCAAACTTAGGTTGCTGGTCCTGAGATGGAGTCTCTATAAGGATCTATACGCAAGTGGATTGCGAATTGGAATTTGAATTGCCACCTAAAGGTCTTTACAGAGACTATGTCTCAGGACCAGCAGCCCCAATTTGGGGTTGCTGGTCCCTCACCGTTGCCCGTTGCACCGTGATCTCACGTTGCCATAAAGTGAATTCTAATTAAAACTTTAATATCCTAAGATATTTTCAGAACAATGTAATTTAAAACTAATTTAACAATTTAACAAGTTAAGCAACATTTGTTGGATTTTTTCAACATTAAGAAACTTTGCTGATTAGAATGTTAGGAATAATTTAGGCAACTTTTCACAATAAAACCTTTATTTCACAAACACAATTTACGCGAAAATGATTGAATTCCCAAAGGGAAGAATCACTTGTTTTCTATTCTATATGTATAAACAAAATATCCACGCAGCTAAGTTTTGAAAACGTTCCAATGTTCATAGCAGAGCTGGATTGCAAAATTACTACGCAAAACAAAAAAAGTATGGTATACTTTTACGCCACTAGTTTGGGAATAACTTCGAATTCTTAAACCAAATTTTCAGAAATGTTTCAGAGAGATTTTCACGGAAAATGTTAACAATGTCATTAATTTTTTTTTCGAAACTTTTTCTGAATTTGGCACAACTTCCCAGTTGGAGTTTATCGAAATTCTAGTTTAAAAGCAAACATCCGGAGACATTTCTACAAAAAATCTAAGGTCCGTCCCACTACAACCAACTTAAATATTTTTGTACAGATCCCAATTGGACTAGCAAGAAAGTAAGAAATATTCATGTATATAACAATATATTTACCCATTTTCATCAAAGTAATTCAACCACTTGTTTCTCACTTCTGCATCTTCTCTAGAGTCTGGCCACGGGATAGGATTGTCTATCTTTTCGCCTACCTCAATGTCCATGTGTTTCTGCTCATGAATGGAGAGCACTTTGAAGTTGCGGAATTGCTGATTACAATGTTTACACTGTGGCACTACTGTCTCTTGGTAGAAGTCGTATGGTTCGTACTCGGGAACATTGGTTTTATTGATTATATTTAAGGCGAGTCGTAGCAAAGACATTGGTTGGTACCTAATGATAAATATTATTTACATTAACAATTCACACAGTAATGATTATTATATAATACAACAAAATTCTATCATTCATCATTATTTGTTTCTCCTCTCTCCTTATCGGAATAAATTATCGGAAGGGTTTTTTAGCCTGGTTTTTCAAAAAATTTAATTTACGTACCAAAAAACAAAAAAAAGGTCAAAGGGAACGAGTGAACATAAAAGTGGATACACAACCCCCTGGCTCCTAGATTAGTAATCTTCTGGATAAATATTTGTTAATATCATGATACTGTAACAAAACAAGATAAGTCAACGCGCATGTTCTTGTGACGTAAGTAAGCCCGAGACAACTTTAATGACAGTAAGTTAAACTTTAACAGCAGAGCAAATGTTTCTATGGATAATAATAAATGTTTCTATAGATAATAATATATACTAATGCCCATTTTAATAGAACTTGAAGTACTACATTATTTTTTATGGTCCTTTAGTATGTAGTGAACTGGAACATATTTTTCGTATTTATAATGGCAACAAATTAAAAATAACAAAAAGTTATTTAAAAAACTTGATAGAAGCTGCAAAATATCTAAATGTTAGCGAAGATATAAAATTACTTTTTTTAGATGTAAAATGTATTTTAAAATACGAATTCTAAATCAAAATATTAAAGATAATTACAATACCGCAAAAGAAAAATCACAAAGATTGTAAAATAAATGTCTAAATGATATTCATAAAGTCTCAAGTATGACCCGCTTTTCCTTTATGGTCAAATTCTTTACATTTTACCGGCGTTTTATATTTAATTTATGTTTTGTAGCAATATTTGTTTTGTTTCTAATACATACAATCAAATCGTAGATTCATATATTTCTTTAATTAATTTTACAAATTACTTATTAATTTTCAAACCACGTTTTCACAGAAAGTAACTAGTTATGACTTCTTAGTGCAAGATATGGCATCGAGGAATACTTACCGTTAACAGTTTCGAAGTTTCGAAGTTGTTCATTACAGTAATGGAACAACGTTGCCATATGATGCATCGTTAAAATATGATACACACAAGTCCCCTTGCTTTGTCTCGCTAGGACGTCATGCGCAAAGTCGATTAAAATTAGAACGGCAAGTGAGCATATCTGGTTGTTATAGTATCACGTGTTAATATCTACTAGTTTCCGCCATTAATACTGTATCGTAATATATCGTAAATTGATAATCGGCATTCAACTTAAAACCACACCAGCAAACTCTACTACATTGAAATCCTCATCAGACAGGTAGAAAACCAAATTAAACATTGCAACAATCCAAACCAATTACTACAATGGACGATATGGCAATAACAATAATTGTCACTCAGTCAGAACAGACACATTCAACTGAGAGACATTCAAGGCCGTATGATAATCGACGGTAAAGAAGTAACTGAAGAATGGAAAGAATATTTTAGGGACCTTCTAAACATCATACAGGAAGAACAGCACAAAGAAGAGATCTATGTCACAGCGGACATGCCCGTCAAAAATCCCTCCTTTGAAGAAACCCAAAAAGCCTTAAATATGCTGAAAAATCACAAAGTGCCGGGCACGGACGAGATACCAGCAGAACTTCTGAAATATGGGGGAGATGTACTACATCGCCAAATTTATCAGCTAATAACGCACATATGGTTACAAGAAAGGATACCAGCACGATGGAAGGAAAAAATAATAGTGCCCATCCACAAAAAAGGAGACAAAACAAAATGCGCGAATTATAGAAGAATTTCACTCCTAAACACGGCATATAAAACCCTCTCAAACATCATTCTTAGTAGACTAATCCCTTATGCTGGAAATGTCCTAAGCGAATATCAAGCCGGTTTTAAGGCAAACAGATCAACAATAGATCAACTATTCACGCTACTTCTAGAAACGGGATGGGAGACTCATAGACTTTCGACAGTCATATGATAGCGTAGAAAGAAGCCAAGTATGGAATGCCATGGCGGAGTTCTCAATACCAAAGAATCTCATTAGGATGACCAAAGTCTGTATGGAGGGTGGAATATCTAAAGTATGTGTAAATAATAAACTGTCTGGCAGCTTTGAAATCAACAGTGGACTCAAACAGGGTGATGCGTTATCTCCACTACTTTTTAACCTTGTATTAGAGAAAGCCATGAGGTCGGCCAAAATAAAAACAGAATTGCTATCGGTTCAAGGTCCCAAGCTGTTACGCGCATATACAGATTACATAGATCTCGCTTTGGAGACTCCATCCTATCCACGAAAGACATTTTCAACAAGGTGGAAGGAGCAACAAGTGAAGTAGGGCTGAAGATTAATGAAGAGAAGACGAAATATATGTGTATAAATAGAACGAAGAGAGAGAATAGGACAAAATGTAACGGTCAACACCCTCAATTACGAAGTATCTGTGGGTCGTAATCACAGCTGACAACGATGTTACTGCAGAAATAAACGACAGAATCCAATCTGTAGACCGCTGTCTATTCGCATTGGATAAGCTCATAAAATCAAACAATCTCACAAGAAGTGCAAAGATCAAAATTATTAACCCATCGTCAGATCTGTAATAACATACGGATGCGAAACGTGGATCATGACCAAAGCAAACGAAGAAAAACTCAGACGCTTTGAACGAAAAATACTTAGAAAAATTTTCAGACCTCACCATGACATCACCACAAACCAGTATAAGATCAGAACCAATATCGAATTAAAAGCACTCTACAATGATGCCGATATTGTCCAAGAAATTAAATCACAGCGACTAAGATGGGCAGGCCATGTGCACAGACTGCATAACGAGAGACTTGTAAAACTGGTATGGGAGGAGATTCCCACAGGCAAAAGACCACTCGGACGTCCCAGAATGCGATGGAGAGATAACATCCAAGCAGATCTCCGGAAAATGAACATTCCATTTGACCCTAGGTTAATGGAAGACCGAACAAATTGGAAAAAGTTGTACAGTCAGCCAATATCCACCCAGGGTTGTAGCGCTACGTGATGATGATGAGTCAGAACAGAAACTCAACAACAGAAGTGAGTGTTTTATTGAAAGATAAAAACTTTGCTAGTGTCGAGTCGGGAATTATCGAAGATGAAATACGGATAGAAACTTATACATTCATATCGGACTTGCCTGTCTAAACTACGACTACATATAGCGCAAATACTTGGGGAAAATCATCAGCGGTTGGGGGAACGATATGAAATCACGTCACGTCCGGTCACGCACTGGAGTTGAGAATATCTGCCGCAGTTGCAGACGAAACGTCAGGAATTAACAATTACAGAACACGTCATATAAATACTGAGAACAGTGTACCTTTACAAAACATCGGCCATAAAAGCCAAACTCCTTGATAATTACCATTTGGTCCAAAAATCTTATAGTAAAATCAAAGGACACTGTATGTACTTTAAAATAGATCACTGAAATAAATATTGCTTTGAACCTAAAGATATCTTAAGATGTTACTGTACAACTTCGAAAAAGACAGACTAGAACTAACTAGACAGAAATCTACAATATACTAGTATAGATTAAATAAGTAAATTATAGGTGATATATAAGAGTAATGCTAATCAGTTGAAACTACCTCATATGTTGGAACTATTTACTTACAGCATTATATCGAAGCAAGTTACAAACATCAAAAACATATGCAAAATACTTAAGCATTTAATATATTTTGAATAAAAAACTAATTTACCTATGTTCTTCTTCTTCCATATATTTATCAATTAAAGTACTTTCGTCTTCCTCTTCTTCTTCTGGTTCCTCCGCAATGATCGGCTTTTCACGCTCAAATTCTCTAATTCCATTAGATCTTTCATTTTTTTCTGTACGGTCACTTTCTTCATCTGATTCTATTATCCTCCTTCGTTTTCTTGGCCTGAGTTCTTCAATAGAATCATCAGAACCATCAATATCACTGTTGTCTTCTTCATACATTTGTGAACCTGAGGAGAAATAATTAATACTAACAAAAAGAGTATTTTATTTACATATTATTAAGATATTCAGTAAGGCTTCCTTTAATATATCTGTGATTCAGAATAGATACAGATACAATAGGTTGTTTCTATTATCCATACAATATAGTATATAAGAAACATACTTTGTTCGGCACATTGTTATAATTGTCTTACAATACGCTTGATTCAGATATTCACTTATTCAGACTGAAAAGATCTCCGATAAAATATGTTTTTAATACTCAACTACCGACGACAAAGAAATACAATTACTTTTATTGTACTATTATTTAAACTCAAACTTAGATACAGTATAATCTCATTAATCCGGCATGATTAAAACCACAGGGTTTAGGATTGTTGGAATGTTCAAATAACGAATTACGAAAATATGCGAATGTTTTGTTGGGCAACAGTCTTCAAAACAGATCACTTTCATCTGCATTATAGATTTGATCAGGAAGACGATCCAGTTCTTTCACTTTGACTTTAAAATGTTGGATTAATAACTGCACTGTAGATTTTTTACTTGATAATTTTTTCCCCGATATAGTTATCAGAAGAAGAATACCAAATCTCTTTTTTATTGTCATTTTTTTATAAAGTTCTATTGCTTTTAGAATTTCTCTACATATAGGAATATGTTTAGAATGCTTTTACATGGACCACATGTAGAGAGCGTTTTCCATCTTTGGTTAGTCACCAAGACATACGCCAGGCAGACAGTCTATCATACCTATTGTTTAACATCGCGCTAGAAAGAGCCATAGAGAAATCGGGCATAAAAACCAGAGGTACGATCATCAATAGAAGTGTACAGATATTGGCCTACGCAGATGACATTGACATAGTAAGACGGACAAAAAGAGATCTGATACAGGCTTTTGAAACATTAGAAAAAGCCGCGAAGACAATGGGACTGCAGGTCAACGTATCCAAAACAAAATACTTGAAGGCCACGAACAGCACACAAATAGCGGCACCACAAAATCTGGTGACAGAAGCACACACAATCGAAGGGGTCTCGGAGTTTATATATCTTGGAACACAATTAAATAACAACAACCTAGTAAGCGTAGAAATTAAGAGAAGAATATACCTGGCGAACAGAGCTTATTTTGGACTAAAGCAGTTTTTAACATCACACATAATTAGCAGAAAAACCAAGACACTAATATATGAAACTCTTATTAAACCTGTCCTGACATACGCGTCAGAGACATGTACTATGGTAAAAAGCGACGAAGAACGGTTAGGCCGCTTTGAAAGAAGAATACTTAAGACACATATACGGAGGAGTACAAGAAAGCGGGATATGGCGCAGTCGCTACAATTTTGAGTTGTATCAATTGTATGAAAAATGCAACATCGTCCGGTCTATTAAAATTAATAGACTAAGGTGGCTAGGACACCTTGAAAGAATGGACACTGGAGACCTCCAAAGACAAATATTATATCAAGAGCCAGTAGGAACCAGGAAGAGAGGCAGGCCAAGATCTAGATTTAAAACTCAAGTCGAAGATGACTTGAGGAATCTAGGGATAGGGAATTGGAAAGCCAGGGCGAAAGATAGAGGGAATGAAGACTAATTCTTGAACAGGCCAAGACCCACCCAGGGTTGTAGAGCCAAAGATGATCACGATGATTAGTCACCAACTCTTAATGTTTTACCCTTTACTGGTCCGGATTCCATCGATTTCATGTGGTCCACTACATTTTGTTTTAGTTTTTAAGATTGTGTATAGCAGCACGCTTAACTCCATATCCTTTTGCCAATTTCCACATGTTGTCTCTACTATCTTCCTTAGAATGTACATTTTATCTTTTAAATCTAGAGCCTATTGTTTCCGTTTACTAGACATTTTTAACTACAATGTCCTCACTTAAAACAGCAGATATATATGTACGCATTATATACATATATAAATATGTAGACTTTGCGTTTCATCAGGCATTCACAGTAGAAGAATTATTTCGCGCAGCAGCCGACAGAGAAAGGTTTCAGGAAATTGTAAACATGATGACGGCCAACGTCTGAATACGGACACGGCACCCAAAGAAGAAGGCAAAGTGAAGGGCCATCTTTCTTAAAGTTTTTTCATCTGTTTTTTGTACAGGGGTGGGAGAATTGAAGTGGTTATATGCATAGACTTAAATATATAATTTACATCAAGACGAGAGGGAGAGAAGGTAAAATAAAGTATCGAGTTAGAATAAATGAGTATCATAGACATATATAAAACCACTCACCAGAAACATATATAAAAGTATATGCCCCTCACACGCTGCTACTCCCACTTAACATCAAGACGAGAGAGAGAGAGATAGAACAAATTAGTTGAGAGATTTTGTTAACATTGGAAAATGCCGACTTGCTCAGTATTTTTTATATATGTCTAGGGTATGCACGTGCACCGGATTTTGAGGTTAGACTGTAAGACGCGACTGGTCGCATACGCGGGGCAAGGGGTTGGAAGGAGAGAGGTAGGCGCAGGGGGAGGGTACTGGATTAGTGACCTGTCGGTTTATTGAAGAGTCGGATTTTCCAGTTTTGTATTTAAAAAATCTATGTGTACAAATTTACAATCCTCGTTTTGCGAGCTTATCATTAGTATCAGAATATTTTGTAGCTAACCCTTTTTTGATTTTTTGTATAAAAAAAGTTGCTTCAAGCATATTTGAAAAATGGATAAATGCAGTTAAAGTATTTCTTTGCTATTCAAACATCGCAAATTTGATTCAGGTTAAAAACCTACAACATATCAAGCTGGATGACTTGGTTATTTACAACTAGTCACAAAAGATTACACTAACGAGTAAATTTTCTCTATTAACAATCTTAAAAGTAATGTTTGTTGAGTTCTGGCCCATGGTATTCATCAATTTTTTTTAACCGGCTTGAACATATCACTTATCAACTATTTGCACTAACTCAACAGGTTTTACACTAACTCGAAAGGTTTATTTCTTGTGAGTCTTCTCACTATTCCATGATGATCCAGGAGTTGAATACCCTAGACGTTTGCATGGTTATGAAGTCTGTTTTCATGCTTCTTTTGAAAATATTTTAGCTACTTTTTATGTACCAGAGAGCATTTACAATGTCCCTCAGTACTTTATTCTGAAAACTTTGAATCATTTTGATGTTACTCGCACTGGCACATCCCCAGAGCTGTATGCCATATGTACATACCGACTTCAGTACTTGTTTATATAACACGACCTTATTATCTATTGGCAGCTCCGATTTTCTTCCAAGGAGCCATTACAGTTATCTATATTTGATGTTTAATTATTTTTTTTTTCATTTTGATTAATACTATTGGTGTTTTATTTTTTTGTTGGTGAAATCTACTTGTATATTTTTATTCTCATTGAGTTTGATACGCCATTTCTTGTTCCATGGAATAATCTCATTGAGTGCCTCTTGCAGTTTTACTTTTGTTTCAATTTCATCATCATCCACTGCTAATATATTTGCATCATCAACAATCGTAGCAGTTGTGGTTGTGTTAACATGGGTTAACATATGGCTGGTATATCATAGGTGTACAGCAGATAAAGTAATGAGCCTAAAACACTGCCTTGGGGTACTCCAGCACTTATTGTTCTCAAGTTAGAGTAACAGTCTTCATATTTTATTCTTAACAATTTTTCATTAATACACGATAATAGTAAATGACTGTTTTTTAGGTAAAAGTAAATCCAGTTTATATTCTAGCCCATCATGCCGTACTTTATCAAAAGCCTGGGCAGCACCCAAAAAAACTGCTGAACATACTTTTTTTTCCTCTAGAGCTTTCTCTATTTGATCTGACCAGGTCTGAGGACCTGGTCTATTGTTGCATGATTATTTCTAAACCCAAATTAATGAGGAGTGATAATACATTTTTGTTGTATTATACATTTAAATCTTTTTAATAAGAGTTTTTCAAACAATTTTGAAATCACTGGCAATAACGATATCGGCCGATATGATGTTACCTCATTTGGTGGTTTCTCAGGTTTTGCTATCATAGTTATTTCCGCTACTTTCCAACATATTGGGAAGTATTTAAGTCTAATCAACGCATTAAATAGATTATATATCTCAACAATTGCTAGTATGGGAAAATTTTTCAAGATTTCTCCTATTATGAGGTCATACTCTGGTGTCTTTTTTGGATTGATGTTTGTTAGCATGTAACTGCTTCTTCTTCTCGTGTCACTCCTAGCGGAGATTGGAAATCATCATGGCCACTGCGACTTTGTTAGCAGCGCGCCTGAAAAGTTCAATCGAACTACACCCGAACCATTCACGTAGATTACGAAGCCACGATATTTTTCTTCTTCCCACACTTCTTTTGCCCTTAATTTTGCCCTGCATGATGTTTCTTAAAAGTTCGTACTTTTCACCTCTCACAATGTGCCCCAAGTATTCCATCTTTCTAGTTTTTATATCATTTGGAATTTCGCATCTTTTGTCTAAAGTTTGGAGTACTTGCGTGTTAGTGACGCGGTCCATCCATGATATTCTGAGAATGCGCCTATAGCACCACATCTCGAAAGCTTCGATGTTTTTTATAGTCAACTGTTTTAGTGTCCAAGCCTCAACTCCATATAACAGGGTAGAAAAGACATAACACCGCAGCATTCGTATTCGTAACTTTATATTGATATCACGATTGCAAAAGAGTTTGCGCATTCTATTAAAGACTGATCTAGCGATTTCTATTCTACATCTAATCTCTTTTGTTTGATCAGTATCGTCTGTGATCCAAGCACCTAGATATTTATAACAGGGCACACGCTCAATCGTTGTATTGTCTATTACAAGATTAGCTCTGATGTTCTTTGATTTCGTGATTACCATAAATTTAGTTTTGTTCAAATTAATTTTCAAGCCGTAACTGCTACAGTATATATTGAGACTTTGAACGAGATGTTGTAGTTCTACTAGCGTTCCCGTTAGGAGAACTGTATCGTCAGCATACCTTATATTGTTGATCGTCTCACCATTTATTATCAGACCAAGATCTTCTTCCTCAAGTGCTTGTTCACAGATAGCTTCACTATACAGATTAAATAAAAGTGGCGATAAGATACATCCCTGCCGGACTCCTCGACGGATTTGAATTTCTTCTGTTAGTCTTCCCTCAACCTTGACATTTGCTGTTTGATTCCAATATAGATTGCATATAATTCGAATATCTCGGCTGTCTATATTTTTCTTTATTAGAACTTGTCTTAGTGGTTCATGTTGGACTTTGTCAAAGGCCTTTTCGAAATCAATAAAGCAGGCGTAAATTTCTTGGTTCATGTCTAAGCAGGTTCATGTAACTGCATTGTCTCTCTAATATTTTCATCTATTGTTGGAAAGTTGTCAATCTTAGATTGCATATCAGGTGGTTTAAAAGTATTTTCCAAATGATCAACAAATATGTTCGCGTTTTCTTGGTTACTTTTAGCTCATCTTCTTCACTGGCTTTACAACTCGGGGTGAGTCTTCGTCGCATCCACTATCGCCGTCCATCCTCTACGATCGTGCGCTTCTAATTCCCATCGTTGCGCCCCAATTCTAGATAAATCGGCTTCAACATCATCCTTCTATCTTTTTCTCGGTCGGCCTACTGATCTTCTACCATCTGGTCTTTCAAAAAACACTGTATTTAACACTCGATCATCCTCTGATCGTACCACGTAACCTACCCATTTTATTTGGTTTGCCTTGGTATCTCTGTTTTCAGTTCGATACAGAATCACCAATTCAGCATTACGGCGTCTTCTCCAATCCCATGTGAATTCATATCTTTGAGGGCCAAATATTATTCTGAGTACCTTTCTTTCAAATACTAGCAGCTTATTGATTTCCCGCTGGTTGAGAGTCCATGTTTCACTGCCATATGTAATAATTGGGTGAATAATCGACTTGTACAGTGTTAATTTAGATTTTCTTTTTAGCAGCTTCGATCTTAATAATGTTGAAAGGGAGTATAATGCTCTATTTCTCGCAGCTATCCTTGCTGAGACCTCTTTTTCTATGTCAATCAGCTGTGATTCTCGCCCCCAGGTATTTAAACTCCTTTACTACTTCGCAGTTGTGATCATTAATACTGATGTTCTGCCTAACTCTTGGTCTTGGATTTTTGGTTACTACCATGTATTTTGTGTTTTCTCCATTTATTCGGAGACCCAGACTACCTGTTTCCTCCTCGAGCTGTGAAAACATCTCTCTCACGCCTCTTGTAGAATGCATGACTGCATCTATATCATCAGCAAAGACCAGTAACAGTTTTGATCCTTGATCAGCAAATCCTCCTGTCAGCTCAGACGATTTTTTATTTATTGCATGTTCTAAAGCAAAATTGAACAGCAAAGGTGACAAGGGGTCCCCTCATGCTCCATCTCATACTTATGCACCATCAGATTTTCTAATCACAGAATTCAACACATCAGACATCATCAAAATATGGCTTAGAATACATCACAAAATACGGCCTAGAATTCAAATTAAAAAATTCACTTTGTTACTGAACTGAAAATACAATTTTTTATACAATAATCTACAGTATCTTATAGGACAAGCTCATAGTTTCTATCGATATTTATAATGATTGTCGAATATCAGTAGGTGTTACTTTTGTTCACTAACTTTTTGAAAATATACCATATAACATAATAAATATTACCTAAATAAAACATTTGAAAATCTCTTACCTTCAGTGTTATGTGTAAACTCAGTCAAACTGCTACACAAAGAGTCATCTAATTCATGGTAAAAAGGAACTACCTTTCTTCTTCTAAGTGACTTCTCAGGATTCTCAGTCTTCACTTTATTTTTGGCCATAGATTCAGCTATAGCCAACTCTAGTTCCCCATTAATTGTATTACTCTCCAAGATCGTTTGCTTACAATTGTTGCAAAATATATTAAGATCATCTGTGGAAGTGCTTCCATCCTTAAGCTCTGAAGATTCCTCCTCCTCCTGAAAGGGGACGGGTTTTTCTGACTATTGGATGAGAAAAAGAAAAATGAAAGCTGTTAGACAGATTAATAGTTTTAGTAAATGGCCATTAAGTCTTTCTTAACAGCAAAAAGATTAAGGTTGTTAGAACAAATATTAGACAACATAATCTTAAACTAGTAAGAATAAAGCTTTAGTACAGTATCAGTACAAAAAGGTTAACATAAAGGTTAGACATATAATACAAGACAGACTGACTGCTGAAATACAGTCGCGTTCTTTTAGTGTGACAGAGAAAACTGACGCCAAGCATTCCCTGTATATTTTTCTAATGGGCCGGGTTTATCGACCACGTGACCTTTTTTTTAGGTTTTAGATTTAGGTCCCGTGGTCGATAAACCTGGCAAATTAGAAAGAGATGCAGGGACTGCTTTGCATCAGTTTTCAACAATCAGTCTATCTTATAATACTTTTCTATGATATAAACCAATCAAGAATAATATTAATGTTTTGGTTATCTTTTACTATTTCTATTAACCCTTTGACGGCATTATTATTCTGGATTAGGTACAGTTAAGGGTTTGTACCTTAATGACACTTTGGTTTAACAGTTAGAGATGTATCAGAGCAATATTTTCTGTAGGATAATATTCCATATAACAAAGAAAGTAATTTAAACAATTACTTATTGAAACTTAGTAAAGAAAAATTTTTGTTCTAATTTCAACTTTAGATCACAGAAATAACCACAGACCGATATCTTTTTTAACACATCTATAAATTACTTAAAAGTACTAACGAATATAACAAAATTCTCGTTTATTTTGAAGATCGAACAAAATCGCTCGAACACGTTGATTTTTAAACTTGTTCCAATATCTAATGGTATCGAAATTTCCATATTTGGATGAACCTTATCAGGTGACAGCCACACCCTCCATTTGTTTAAAATATCAAAATTTCAAAAATATATTACACTATTCGCTCCGTGCGTGACTGATGCGCCTACCGCCTTCATCTGACACTTTTGGAGTCCCAATTTTCAGGTTAAATATATGAGATATGTTTGACATTGTTAAATACATGCGAAATTGACAATCATTAATAAATTAGTTTTTTAACTATATTTTTTCAGTTTATGTACAAAATAAATGTAGTATTAAAAACTGAGTTTCTCAAAATTCATCATAATATATCTTTTCAACTTCAAACGGAAAAGAAAGGGAAAAATCTAGTACTGGCAAATCAAGTTTTTCACGCAAAAGGGCATATTATTAAAAACAATAATAGTAAAAGTTATGATATAAAAGCTAAAGTCATCTGCAGTTAGATTGAAGCCTTACGAAATATCATTCAAGGTAAATTATTTAAATTTTTCCTATTTCAATTGCATAAAAATGAAATTATGTGATATTTACTTTTTCATATTAATAGCACGAATTCATCTTTTTCTTTTCCCTAATTTATATGTAATCTTTGGGAACCTATAAAAACTACACTCACTGTTTTTGCTATTATTAGCAGAATTAAATACGCAACATGTATTTGCACACATTTTTGATAAAACTTATGCGTAAAAATATTTTGTCCAATATTCCAATTTGTCATATTTCGCCGCTACGCACGCTGGCATCGTTTCAATGTACCCCTACCATGGTCACGCACGGAGCGAATAGTCCAGTCATCATAGAATTGACCCCTAAAAGTCATACGAACGAGCAGAATTTTGCCGAGAATATTAATTTGGGACCCCAAAAAAGATGCAAAGAAGTTTACCACTTTTATCCCCGGGCTTTCTCCTTAAACGCCCTTGTAGGGGAGTAAAACGCAAAAAAAGTCGATTTACAAAGAATCACACCATAGAAAAAAATGTTTCAAATAAAAAATGTAGCTGAGATTTTTCTCAGAAATAACGCTTGAAGCGACCGTCGATTTTGAATGTTGTGCGTGCACCAATGTTCAATAAAATTTATATCAGCTCGACGGAAATAATTCGATATCTTTTGATCCAAGTGTCATATCGACAAAAATCAAGATACGTTTTAGTTTTTGTATTTTGCCGCAAATAAACTCAGCTTTTACAAAGGAGATATATAAATAAACGAGGCGCAATTTTTGCCATTTTTACGATTCTCGTGAGATCAATGAAATTGATCACTTTCATTGACCATTCGTAGTAAAATTTCCATTTTTAGAGATCAATATTTAAAACCTCTAACATGAAATTTCAATTTTGAGTTGTGGCAACAAATATGAGGATTTGAAATATAAATAAAAAAACGCAGAATTTATTGTTTTATATTTCAATCAACCGCACATCACGGGAAATGCCTCCAAATGTCACAGTTTTGGGTGTAGTTTATAGCAGAAGTTTGGTTCTTTTGACAAACCTACTAGTTTAACCCTCTACCGCATGGAAATCCATATATGGATTCGGTAGTTTACTATTTTTTTTTGTAAGTTTAAAGTTCAGCAGATATGCAGGCATAGCATAACATGAACCGTACATTTGTTTGGAAACCTCTGTATATTTTAAAAATCTGGCAACTCTGCTAGATAAGTCAACCCAATCATTTTAAATCATGAATGTGTTGCTTGTGTGAGTCCATTTCAAATAGGCAAAGAAATAATAAATAAGACTTACTCACAATCAATTTAATTTAACTATCAGACGACCGGTTTCGCTTTCTACAATATGCAAAGCATCTTCAGGTCTCGATACAAAGTTAAATAAATGCCGAAATGATAAAAACCCATATTAGGGTGTTATCTAATAAAGATAAACAAAGTAGATGATGTAAATTACAATAATTATGCCAATATTACATGTCTGTGGTTTTTTTTGAAAAAGAGTAAGTTGAATAAAAAGGTATAAAAGTTTTAAAAGTTTAAACAGACAAGGTAAGGCCCACAAATTTTCATAAAATAGTCTATTAGATTGTAATAAATTAATAAATGAGCAAATAAATAAACATTACTTACATGCCGGTACTCTATTAATTGATGGATGGTAGAACATGGTTGAAACTATTATGTATTGTTGAATGGAGAACTCAATTCTGCTATTGTAGTTGTATGACAGTAAACGGGAAGTTCTTGAGGAGATAGATTTGATCCAATGAAGCAGAGATATGTGTATGAATGTTTTTTAAATGAAAGTGATGTAATATACTATTGTATTATTAAAAGTTATTTATACTTATTCGAGAGATATATTTATGAAATGTGTGTTATTTATTGAGTAATTGTTTTATGAAGGTGGCAGTTTTATAACAATGAATAAGTTTAGGTGTATGTGTAGAACTAATTGTGTGGGTGTGCAATTATTTTTCAACTTGTAAACAACTTACAAGTTGAAAAATAATTGCACACCCACACAATTTGTACATCTAAACTTATTCATTGTCATAAAACTGTCACCTTCATAAATCAATTACTCAATAAATAACACACATTTCATAAATATATCTCTCGAATAAATATAAATAACGTTTAATAATACAATAGTATATTACATCACTTTCATTTAACAAACATTCATACACATATCTCTGCTTCATTGGATCAAATCTATCTCCTCAAGAACTTCCCGTTTACTGTCATACAACTACAATAGCAGAATTGAGTTCTCCATTCAACAATACATAATAGTTTCAACCATGTTCTACCATCCATCAATTAATAGAGTACCGGCATGTAAGTAATGTTTAATTATTTACTCATTTATTAATTTATTACAATCTAATAGACTATTTTATGACAATTTGTGGGCCTTACCTTGTCTGTTTAAACTTTTAAAACTTTTATACCTTTTTATTCAACTTACTCTTTTTAAAATAAAACCACAGACATGTAATATTGGCATAATTATTGTAATTTCCAACATCTACTTTGTTTATCTTTATTAGACAACACCCTAATATGGGTTTTTATCATTTCAGCATTTATTTAACTTTGTATCGAGACCTGAAGATGCTTTGCATATTGTAGAAAGCGAAACCGGTCGTCTGATAGTTAAATTAAATTGATTGTGAATAAGTCTTATTTATTATTTCTTTACCTATTCCAATCATTTTAGTTACAACGTGCTGTGCATTGCGATTTTTTAGAACAAGTGAAATATTTATCTTCAAACATCGGCGTTTTACAAGTAAGTAATCAATTTTTTATTATTTCAAGTCTAATTGGTGTTTGTTCTTTATAAGTCAGATGATATTTAGTGATTATTAACTTGGGTTTGTCTAGAGAAAACGACATTTAGTGATCATCCATATAATATGGCTTCTTATGCATTATCGTAAAAAATATACAGATTTAGTCGAAGCCATATATGGCTATGTATGCATTTGAAGAGTAATTTATGTAGATATTATTTTGTTTTCAGAAATGGATCCCCAAAGGTTTTATCCAAGTTCTAAACATGTGAACACTATTCCCAGTGATGGAGGGTTAAGCGACGATGATTATACTGATTCAGACGAAAAATCAGCGTATTTGTCAATCTTAAAATTACCTTCTAGTAGACTCTATTGGAAATCACGTTTAGGCCAACGACTTGTATACGAAATTATGAGTTGTAATCGGTGGGAAGATATTAAAAAATGTTTACATTTCAATGACAACACTAAGTTTATACGAGCTGGTTTACCCGGTCACGATAAACATTTTAAAATAAGACCTCTCGAAGAGAACATATGTGAACAATTATTATTAAAGAGGAAATATTATAAAGAAGAGATCTCTCTATTGATGAACAAATCATACCTACTAAAACAAGACACAGTCTAAAACAATACAATCCTAAGAAACCCAAGAAATGGGGATTCAAAAATTTGGTACTTAGTGGATTTTCAGGATTCAGCTACGATTTTGATATATTTGCTGGAAAGCAAAGTTATGTTATACCTGATGGTGCACCAGATCTTGGAGCAAGTGAAAATATAGTTACAAAACTAACTAGTACAATCTCACGGCACAAAAATCATAAAGTATGTTTTGATAATTGGTTCAACAGCCCTAACCTACAAATTTATCTTTCACAAAAC